ACTGGCAACAACAGGCTTCGTGTGGATATGAAACCGTAGGAACAAACCACACAACGCACAGGAGTCGAAACTGGTCCATACACATGGCAGACGATGCCCTTATAACAACACTGGCATGAAAAACATATTGGTATTACTTCAAACAACCAAAATCCACAGAAATTAAACGAAATTTAGGAAATGTAAAAGAAAGCAATGAAAGCAGCGCAACACTCGATGCTAAGAATCGACCCAGGACCCACATCGCCACATCAATCGCGTTCCTTCAAAGTGGATTGGAGCGCGTCAGGCATCACTTGAATTTCGTGACTGGTTCATTTTCTTTCTCGTCATTTGAGGGCAAGCTGTGAGTTGCAAATGTATACGAAATCTGTGATGAGCCAGTGTCTGCACATCTTTTTTTTACGGAATTCACACGTTTGTTTGAAGGGCTGCGAAAACTCGCAGGAACTTGGAAATATATTATTTCAATGATATGGGTAGGGGAGGAAGTGTTATATGTGCTAGCCACACTGAAAACATAGTTCTCCAACATGGAAACTTTCCCTTGGTCTATGGCTTTCCCCATGTCTGGTTAAGTTTATTACCAGCGGACGGATTTATATCACTGTAGCACTGTTGGATGTTACAGCGGGGTCATCAAAAGCGATCCGAGGTGAAGAGTGCTAAAGCTAGAAATAAAGGATTTATTCAAATTTTAGAAAGTTTACAAGCATTGAATGATGCTTATTCCTCAGTCGAAGAAGATTGAGGACTGGACTTATCTGTGTTAGAATGTAGTACGCGAATAGCGAATCCAGTTGTGTTTATGTTGGCCCTTGCAGCACACGATCGCCTTTCCCCCACCAAATTTGCGGCTAGTGTTGCCTCACAGATCCGAGCTGCAGTAGGCCGATGTCAGACTTTGCGAATCGCGCGATTCGCTAGCGTCCGCGGTCGCGTTGCGGTACCAGCCAATTGAGTGATTCACTGGCCGCGACGCGACCGCAGACGCTAGAATCGCTCGATTCGCAAAGTCTGACATCGGCCGTGGATTATTGAAGGTGAATGTGGATCTCGCCAGAGCTCCGTCAATGGAAAGTCTGCCTTCTCTGCCTTCTAGTTTGCGGGACACGGTAGCGTACTGTAGGGCGGTTTGTCCCTGGCTAGAAAAATGGCTACATCGCTTTTGGGGGTTCTTCTTCTTAGGGCCGCTTGTAGCACTACGCTAGTGGGGCAGTAAAATCAGATACTTAGTTCGTAAGAAACTGAATTCTTAGCACACTCCACACGCTTATTACAGAAACGCTCTTGCTGATCCAACTCTCTAAAAGAACGTATAGCACTGGAAGAGACGTCTTCCTTATCCCCGGGCGAGGAGCTCGACATACGGCCCCGGAGGCGCGTCTTTCGTTTTGACCATGAGGAATGTGTCTACAGTTGAGGTGGAAAGGCTGACTGGTTAGGGATCCATTCCAACCAAGGAGTGCATACAGTTGCTGGACGCCTTCCCATCCATTAGCAGCAATTGTATAAGAGCATTTGAGTGAATGCGTGAGCTTCACTAACATTTGTGGTTAATGAGGATGTTTAGGTGTTTGTTAGGGTAAAAATGGCATAAATAAAGTCCCAGAAGCTCAGAGCAAGGAACGCCATTCCTATTGCAACACCGTCGAGATCTTCTCAGTCAAAATTTCAGGTTCACCTCAGATAATTCGAGAAACTGTGCATGTGCAGTCGTTGTCCTCAAGCATTTTGTAGTTTGCGGTTTTCGTCCGTTCTGGTGAATGACCCAACTATGAAGCACTTACAGATACATGGATCGAGGTAGTGCTGTTTGGCTAGGAAAGCA